ATCCCAGAGGGGTTTCTGTCAGAAAGGGAGGGGTGGCGGCTGCTTCAGAGGTGGTGACTGCACCATGGTGCAGCCTCCCCGGGGTCTTGTCCATCCAGCGCACCTCGAGTGAGCCGTACTCCCAGCACGCCAGCTTGTGGGAGCCCACTGCCACCGCCCCCACTCTCCTCCTCCATTGCCTCTCAGGAATCACGGCCCTGCATACAAGCAGCTCCCTACCTGCACAGTAAGTCACCAGCTCCCAGTCCGCCCCGGCCCCCAGCACTTGCCCTCCCCGCTGCAAGCAGCTGCTGGGGCTCTGGGCTCCTGCAGCCGCCCCCCCCCACCCTCCCATCCCACTTTAGTCCCAGCTTACAACGGAGGCTCCCCCAACTTGTCTAGTTATAATTACCCCCCAGCAGGCTACCCAGCTCAGAGCTCAGTCGGGCCAGGATACAGCCCTGGGGGAGCACCCCCTCCTTCCTCATACCTCCCCTCAGGCATTGCTGCACCTACACCCCTTCCCCCCTCTTCTACTTTACCTGGATACCCATACCAGAGCCACAACCTGACCCCAATTGCCCCCACCCCTCTCAACAGTAGCTCTTCCAACTCACTGAAGAGAAAAGCCTTCTACATGACGGGCCAAGGAGAGATAGACTCTGCTTATGCTAACTTTGGCTACGGCCAGGCTCGGAGCTCGGCCGAGAGCCCCATGTACAGGATAGCAGACAGCAGCAGTGCAAACGGAGGCTCCAACAGTGCCGGCGGTGGCGGATTTGACAGAAGTGCTGAAAAGTCGTCTTTACCTTTTAACCCTCAGAAGCAGTCCACGATGTCCTCGGAGCAGCAGAGGAAGTACAGCAGCCAGGCAACAGGTGGGCCACTGACTCCACCGGCCTACGTCACCTCCACCCTGGGGGGTTCCCGCTCGGCAGATTCCCTCGTCAGCTTCACCTCCCCGTCCCTCAGTGAGCACGGTGCCGATGATCACCGTCTTCACCTATCCCACTCAGCGCCAGGGCCTACCTCCTCCTCATCCACTTCGTCCACCCGGCCTGCTGAAGAGCAGCTAAAAACTAGTGACCCTCACCTTCTAGACATGGTTACCTCTGAAATCGTTCAACAGGGGCCCCCGGTGGACTGGAGTGACATTGCAGGACTAGAACTGGCCAAAGCAACCCTGAAGGAGGAGGTCCTGTGGCCCATTCTGCGTCCGGACATGTTCAGCAGTTTGGGACCGGCCCCACGTTGCGTGTTGCTGTTTGGCCCCAGGGGCAGTGGCAGGACGTTGCTGGGTCGCTGCCTTGCCAGCCAGCTCGGTGCCCCATTCCTCCAGCTCAGCGGCTCCACGCTGGCCACAAAGTGGTTGGCAGAGGGTGAAAAAATTATCCGAGCGTCCTTCCTGGTGGCGCGCTGCCGGCAGCCCTCAGTACTGTTCATTAGTGAGGTGGACATGCTGCTGTCAGCCCACCTCAGCGAAGAGAGTCCCATCAACCGGCTGAAGGGGGAGCTACTTGCCCAGCTGGACTCACTTCTCATGGGCTCGGGCGAGGACGGAGGCAACCAAGTGTTAGTGGTTTGCTCCACAAGCAGACCCCAGGACATGGACGAAGGGCTGCGCAGGTACTTTGCTCGGAGGGTCCTCGTGCCCCTGCCGGATAGCACAGCCCGACACCAGATCATGAACCAGCTCCTGGCTCAGTCTCAGCACAAGTACTGCTTGAGCGAGGAGGAGCTGGCGCTGCTGGTCCAGCGTACTGAGGGTTTCTCTGGACTGGACCTGGCCAGATTCTGCCAGGAGGCCCTCGTCAGCCTGTTACACGTCTCCGCACAGGGCATGGACATGACGGGTATGATGCCCAGGGGACAGGTCAGGCCCCTCACCTACCAGGACTTTGAGAGTGTCTTTTGTAAATTCCAAGCCAGTATATCGCAGAAAGAGATTGACACGTACACTGAGTGGAACAAAATGTTCGGCTGCAGCCAGTGAAAAGATAGATTCCGCCCTTGAGAAAAAGAGGCATCCACAATTCCTCCCCTCAGGGCAGAAGCATTGTGCTGGAGGGAACGGCACACAGAAGGCCAACACAAGCCCACCGAGTTCTCACAAGCAGGGTTTAGACGCACCGAGAGACCTGGTTTGATGAGACAACTGGCAGTTTTGCAGTTAATGAGCAAGAGTTTTAATTTGAATGCTTGACACTCCAGAAAAAGCCAGGCATTGTTTACACATTGCAAGCAAGTTGGCTTCGGAAGAGACGCCCCAGTGTCTGTGTATATATCTTTATGTTCTTGTTCTTGAGATTTAGTTGGCTATCCAAGTGCCTGAAGTGGTGCTTTCTGATTTCCTTTTATTTGTTTATTTGCCTCACAATTTACATTCATGGCATGAGCTGATGATTATCAAGAGCTTTAAAACTTCAGCGGGTGAGTCTGAAAAACAGAGATTGACAGTTGCCATTGGTGGTGGTCAATCATTCTTTATTGTCTTTCTAAGAGCAGTTATCCATCAGGGCGGCAGTAGTCTGGGCCCTGACTCACACTCATCTCTTCTGATCCTGTGTCTGCAAAACAAACAAACGTAACAAACAAAACTCAGGAAAGCGTTTGTGAATTGTACAGTACCTCAAGATATTTTGACGAAAAGCACTAAGATCTGACAGGAGAATCCAAGGTGGTTTGGCAGTTTAGTGAAGCAGTGTTAGGTGTACCTCAGCTGGCTAGGATAAATAGCAAAGAGGTGACAATGAATGTACTAGATGTGTTCTGGAGTAATGGAACATAATCAATAGTGAGAGTAAAAAACATTATTTCTTCTTCTTTTTCCCCTCACAGCAGGTGTTTTCGTTTTCCTGTTTCTACTTGACCAATCCTGAAGCTCATTTCCATCGCTCTTAAAAGATTTTAAAACCGTGTTGCCCAGCTTTGTTGTTTGGGGGGGGGGGGTTAGGAGACGAGCAGGTGTTGGGGTGGCGGGAGTTGTATATTTATTGAAACAACCATAATCAACATTGTTTATATTATGTGATCTAGGCTATATGGTTAGGCTGCATGGAGACTCCATCAGTTTGTCAGCTAACTTCTGCGCAAATGTCGGCTCATTTGTCATGTGTTCTCTGACGTAGATGAACTTGAAGCTTAAAAACACCTCCGAATGATTTCAAGGAATTGTTCAACATTTTGGGA